GTTCAGCAGTTGGAAAGAAGACCACACATTCCTTCTGCTGCCCTAAGGGCACAGAGCAATTTCTGTGCCTTGCTAGACAATTACAAGCAGCAACCTAATTCAGATTTGTCGGCAACACGGACAATGGGATAGAGTGCAGCCTCAGCAAGTTTGCTGAGGACACCAAACTCTGTGGAGTGGTTGACACACTGGAGGCAAGGGGTGCCATCCAGAGAGACCTTGACAAGCTTGAGAGGTGGGCCCAGGCCAACCTCATGAAGTTCAACAAGGCCAAGTGCAAGGTCCTGCACCTGGGTTGAGGCAATCTCAAACATAGAGACAGGCTGGGCAAAGAGCAGATTGGGCGCAGCCCTGAGGAGAAGGACTTGGGCATGTTAGTTGATGAGAGGCTCAACATGAGCCAGCAGTGTGCACTTGCAGCCCAAAAAGCAACCCGTGGCTGGGGCTGTGTCAAAAGGATTGTGACCACAGGTTGAGGGAGCTAATTCTCCTCCTCTGCTCTGGTGAGGCCCCACTGCTCTGGACTACTGCATCCAGTTCTGGGGCCCACAGAACAAAAAGGACATGGACCTGCTGGAGTGGGTCCAGACGATGGCCATGAAGATGCTTAGAGGGCTGGAGAACCCCTGCTATGAGGACAGGCTGCGGGAACTGGGATTATTCATCATGGAGAAGAGAAGGCTCTGAGGTGACCTAATAGTGGCCTTCCAATACATGAAAGGAGCTACAGGAAAGCTGGAGAAGGGCTTTTCACAAGGGCCTGTAGTGACAGGGCAAGGGGCAATGGCCTGAAACTGCAGGAGAACAGATTCAGATTAGATATAAGGAAAAAACTCCTCCTCATGAGAGTGGCGAAGCACTGGCACAGGTTGCCCAAGAAGGCTGTGGATGCCGTATCCCTGGCGCTGTTCAAGGCCAGGCTGCATGGGGCTTTGAGCAACCTGCTTTAGTGGGAGAGAGGTGTCCCTGCCCACAGCAGGGGGTTTGGAACTAGATGACCTTCAAGTTCCCTTCCAGCCTTAACCATTCAATGATTCTATGATTTCCTCTTTAATTTGTGAGCTGCATCCTGTGAGGGATACTTCTAAAATACACCTTACCCTTCCTACTTGTAATGCTGGTACCAGGATGCCAGAAAGAGCTGCAGCTGATCCTTCATGCCCAGGTTCTGGAGCAGAGACAACCCTGTGTTTAATGATCAGCAGACAAGGATTTTAGCTGCTGTCCGCCTGGTGGTACCTGAAGAACATCCCCAAAATTAAATTAACAATTTAAACAACAACAGGCTTCACTGAAAGCAGAACTCAATGCTCCAAATGCATCTCTACTGGAGTACTAAGAACAGAAGGAGTCACTGGACATGAAAGAGGGGTTGCAGGCACCTGCTATTTTTGCGTGGCTGTTTTGAATCTGTTTATAGATTAATCTGAATCGTTTTGTTGCTATAGATGACTGCCTTTGAGCACCCACATTCACATCCTCATCTACACCATGACTGGAAAGTAGAAAGCACAAACAATGATGAGATGTTGCTGATGCTGGCAGAATACAGGATGGTCAACACGACTGAGCAAGAACTGCTTCAGCACATAACCAGCTCCAACACAAAATGGCCTTTGCACTTTTCAAAGTTACACTGAAGTCCCCTTAAGCAGCTGGAGATGTTTTTCTAGACACACTGGCAAAAGGAACACTCTTAGAACTGCCACTTGAATGATGAGCTCAGGCCATCCATACCTGAATTAGTGCTTACTGTGCAATAAAGGACAAGAAAGCCCACGGGCTAGCTAAGTGGGCTCTGACCAACATGGCTTAAGTACCTACCTCCAAGCAGCAGATGCATGCAAGTGGCAAACTCATGCAGGCCTCCTGCACCACAACTGCTTCAGAGGGCTCCCATGTGTATGGTGTTGACCTAAAGTAAAATGTTCGGTCACTGGAGAACCATGGTGAGATGAGACCAGAAGAGATGTGAGTGAAAACCAACATAACTATGGCCACGGACAGCACATGTATGTAGTGTATGACAGGATGAGCATGTCTGCTCTAGTGCCAGTCTCCAGCAGGAAGCTGTGAAAGAAGTACTAGATCCCCACATCTTCAGCACAGAGAGGTGCAAGAGCTGACACAAGTACAGCTTCTGAAGAGCACACACTCACCCAAGTGAGAAAATGCAGCCACCGTGTCCCTGACCCAACACCCGCCAAGGACTTCAGAAGGCTGATCAGGTGAGTTTTCGTAACAGCTATTGCATTCGCAGCTATCTGAAGTCGACAGCATGTTACATGCACGCTACAGGCTCCTCAGTGAAGCTACGCTCTACTTCAGCTCCAACACATGACTGTGCGAATTTACTTAAGTGAACACTAAATGGTACTTCTTTTACCCTAATTAGTAACAACTCTTTTAGCCTTTGAGCTTGCTGTTAAATAACAGTCCAGCTGTGACGAATTAATGAAAATGACACAGCACAAGTAAAGACAAGAAGAAAAGCCTAGTGTTAAAGATAATGGTTTCAATGACAGGAAAAAATCAGTATACTGTAATGCTGCATTGGGTATTCTTGTTAATTTTTTACATTAGGGTGGTAGCTGCTGAAATTCAAATACCTTTTAACACAGGCTTTGGCTGAACAATGTAGGAGAAACTAAGTTGCAGTTGGTAACTTGCTCTGCACACTGTTTCCCCTTCATTCACATTGTCCAAATACTGTTGAGCTTAACTGTCTGAACTATTTGTCTCAACTGTTCTAGCACTTTCTTTCCAGTGTACAGGGCTCCTGTTATAGAAATCATCTCTCCTGTGTTTTGTATTTTGCTCTTTATGGTAGTACTGTTTCAGCTGTGCTATCTGGACTGATCCAGGGAGTTCTCAGCAGCTTATGTCTTTGCCTTTTTGTGGCTCAGAGGCTGCTGTGAACATTAATTTCATTTATGGAACAATGCACCAAAATTTATCTATGGAATGATTTTCTTTAAGAAAGAGCTGGGAGGAGGGGAAGAGTCTTTGTGAAGGTAGATGCAGAAATCCCAGCATTGTGAGATCTCTGTTTGGCCTTAGTTTCTACATATATGAAAAACTGGCTTATGGAAAAGCAACCCAAAGTAAACATTTCAGATGAGACAAGTGGTACATAATAGTTACTTGAAACAATGAGGCACTATCTGTGAAAGATGAAGTAGAACCCAGTACTATCAAAATGTAATGAAAGGCACGCTCATAAGCAACCCTCTTCAATAGCTGCCTGCACGCAGTTTTACTGAACCATCTTGGTATCTACAGTAGGTGTGCTGCATCACTTCTGAGCACAGGTCTCCACTTCAGCGTCCTCCTTCAGAGACTGACACGTTATCCCCTCTCGTCTCTCTCAGGCTTCCAGTTTTCTTCTGCTTCTGCTTGGATTTCTTCAACATGTGGACCTAAAACGGAAGGTTTTAAAAGGAAGTGAGCCTGCATTAAAATACTGGTAGTCACCTATAAACACAAGTAAGACAACTAACTGATAAACAAGTAAAATGTTGGAAATGCAACAGAAAAAACATTTAAATACACAACTATCTGAAGCACCTATCCCTATAAAGCTATAGGATTAACTGCTTTTTTAATATAAGCACATATACGTGTACGTATGTGTACACAGATGCACAGAGATACGCATTTATATTCATGTACACTCAGGCACGTACACATATGTACATGTAATACTATTAGTCACTAATGTAATACAAAGAGAGAAATATTTCTCACTGGAAGTACCAGTTACGTTTGTTCTCTCTCTTTTCCTCCCTTTCTTTCAGGAAAAGTACAAAGCTTAACATATTCCAAAATTTTTGAGGTATGATCCTCTTTTTCACCCATTTTTCCTCTGTAAGGATCATAGCAGCCCACCTGATAGGGCTACATATTCTCCAAGACTGCCTGCTGCAAATTTCTGTGAGTTAAAAGGGCATCCTTAAGGTAACAGACAAATGTGTAGACTGGTGTGCACCAGAGTCAACTACTGCAAAATGTTTATTTCACAATTTCAACGTCAATAGAACATTTAAATTCTTCGGTAGCTGATATTCTTTTCCTTATACATATATATTGGATAACAAGAAAAAGCAGACACTGAGTACTCCAAAGTCTTTTTCTCATATCCCTCCTCCTACATTATTCATTTTTTTCCTTTGCTGCTGACAGACCTTCCCTTCTCCAGCACACCCAGCAGGCTGCTTCCTACCTCGCACACTCCAGTACTACCATCATCCTTGTAACTGTGACCTGCTTCAGGGCAGGCTCACTGCCTGGAGATCTCCATACCGGGGAAAAAATTACATCACCCGGCTGAAGCTTAGGGACTATGTTTTTAAATGCAAGACTTATATGAGCCAGTGGAGAGAGCCCTCAAACCACCCTCTGCAGAAACTGCAATGTATTCTTCCAACAGTTACCACACCGTGCCCACTAGCTTCTTTAAAGTTAAGCATTAGAACACAACAGATTACCAAGTAATATAGAATATTGACTTTTCTTATAGAAAGAAAGTCAACTTGCTAGAAAACCTACAGCCAGTACCTTTGGTCCTGCAGCAGAGATAATAATCTGGCCAGGGGCCTGAATCCAGGGCTCTCCATCAACTTGAACTGGAATTGGCTTTAGGAGTGTTACACGAAAATATGAGCCTTGGGCTATGCGGATTCCTGATCGAAAACCGCCTTGGACTTGACCCTGTTAGGAAGTAAAAAGCCACATTTTCAAAACACTTAACCATACACAAAGACTTCAGCACTTAGGAAAAGTCTAAAGTCTAAAAGCATTTTATCAAACAGGGAGAGAGAGTTTTGCCAAACTCAGCTCCACATCTATGTGTATATATATGTACATACTCAACTACATGTACACATACTCAACAGGACTAATGGCTGACTGTTAACTGCAAAAAGTGAAGCAAAGTGAACTTTGCTGCTAGACATTCTCTGGGGGAATGGGTACAGACACCAAACACTGGGGTAAAAACCTTAACAGAAGATCACAAAATCAAAGCGTGGGTTTGTTAACATTTATATTCCAAAGTGTGTTTGGTCTGTGTCTGGCAGGGTGTTGGTAGCCAGAGGGCTACAGAGCGGTGGCTCCTGTTCAAAGCTTCTAGAGGCTCCCCCGGGCACAA